GGGGGCAATCACTTTTTCACACAGGGCCATGTAGGTTTGGATTTTTTTTCCCCCTTAATAATAAAAACCTTCATTTAAAAACTGCATTTTGTGTTTACTTGTATTACCTTGTATGTATGTATGTATGTGTGTGTATATATGGATATGTATTTCTTTTCGTTTGGTTGTGGTATTAGAGTCCTTAGTCCACACTCCAGATTAGTGGGAGACGGTAATGCACCCGAAAGCTGTTTGCCAACCGCCAAAAAAAGCAAAAGAAAGAAGAAGAAGAAGAAGCAGGCGGCTGAAAACGGTCCGATTTGAACGCAGTTTTTTGTCAACGCCCCTTTCTACGTCCGCCTGCTCTCGTCTGCTTTCCAGGCGAGGCGCAGTTCAACTCGAACGAGCCCAGAGTCTCAGGAAGGCTGTCGTCGAAGCCGGGTGTTGATTGACAGAACTTTCAGCGAGTAAAGATGCAAAAAGTGCCGCGCATCCCCGAGCGTAAAATTCCATTCGCCAAAAGTCTGACCACCCACCCACGGGTCCAGCAAGTTAGATTGACCCCCCCGTCTACAGGAAACAGATGAAAAACAGACAGGATGTACTTGCCAACAATGATTCTAGCTTTGCACCGGATAATTTTTGCCGTTATTTTTGTGATTCTTCATAAAAGGTAAGCAGATACCTATGATTTTTTCCGGTGACGGTAACTGTTGTGTTGGCGTTGTTGGCTCACAGCTTTGTAGTGGTTTCACGGAGAGAAAAACCGAAGGCATTTATGGGTTCTGCGTCGAATGCTAATGCTCTGGGACGTATTGATTAGCCGTGTAGCCATTAGCTTGTTGTTCCAATATCGAAGCGCAGTAAATAAAACCGATTTGTGCCAGAAATACGTGGTTTTATGCCACATTTTCTAGTTGCTTATATTAGTAGTGTATAGTTGTTTGGAGTGTGTAAAAAGTGACTTATATGATAGTGTTGCTGTTTAATCCAGTATATAAAATGTACACATGTACAATATTCGCTATCAATATGATCCTTTTTTGGACGATATTTGGCAAGAATGTTGTCCAAGATATCGCTGAGGAGTTTCTGGTACAGTGCACGCATGTCTCCCTGCGCTTGGCCTCTCCGTGCGCTCGGGGCACCTGTTTCACGCACAGTGGACTCAAAAGTGTCAGCAAACCGTCCCTTTTCTCTCTCAATAGTGTCACAAAACGCATCCACTCTTTTCAGACAGAATTGTACGTCCAGTTTTTTGTTCTGTAGTACTCCAAAAAGCACATGGAAAGTGGACAGCAAAAAACAAAACCAGATGGGCTATGTATCCGTCAGCACAGCGCACAGATTCCTCGTCATACTCGTCATGGTGCTCCAGAATTGCTCAAAAAGCTCCTGTAGGGCAGCTCTGTTGTCAAAGACCATGTTGACCAGTATAGAGCTATATTGCCACTGTGTTGGTGCCACACGAGGAAGACGCCGCTGGCAGATGTCACTGGGGACCTGGAAAAAAACGCAGCGTGGCCATTGAGATGGTAAAAAAATATTTTACATTCTCTCAGCTTTGAGACCCCTTGAGTCAGCACTAAATTCAGCCGATGGGCATAGCCGTGTATAAATAAAGCCATAGGAGCCATATTTTTAACTTTAGCCTGCACTCCATTAAGTCCAGATGCCATGACCGCTGTGCCATCAAAACCAGTGGTGTATAGTAACGAAGTAGAAATACTTCGTTACTGTACTTAAGTCGTTTTTTTTGGATATCTGTACTTTACTTTACTATTTATATTTCTGTTGACTTTTACTTTTACTTCACTACATTTTGCAAAGAAAACTGATACTTTTACTCCGATACATTTCCCCTGAAACCTTCGTTACTCGCTACAAAATCAAATCTATCTTTAGAAAAAAAATGAATCGTGAGACCAACGTCGGGGACTGTGGTGGAACAGAGACTGCAAGCAAGCAGTTTTGGCGAATCAGTGGTCCTAGCTTGCAAGTTAAATCATTGGTTAATCACGTTAATGCGCAATTGCAAACAAGTGCTCTCAAAGCCGCGGCGTTTTGATTCCCAGTGATGCCCAGGATGCTATATGCTATAGCTAGCGAGCGACAACATGAGTAGAATTCCACACAGGACGGGTGGGATGAGGAGAGGTGGATGGGTCAAACAAACACTGGTGTTTCCTCCAGGAGGCCGCAGTTTGTGCCGTGTGTGAAACGAGAAGCCAATGTTGATTTATTTGTGACGTGACTTCCGTACTTAAGCAACGCCACTTCCGTAGATATTTTAACACAAACCACGATATTTTCCTAAACCTAACTAAGTAGTTTCATCGCCTAAACCTTAGTTGTTTCCTGTGAAGCTGGAAGTTTATTTTGAAAAGACAGTATGCATGTAACAAGTGAAAACAGACTCATTTTTGCTGGACTTTTGCAGGAAAAACGCACGAAAAATGAGGAGTAACTTTTCGTAAGATATAATATAACGGGGATGAATTTATATCATTGTATAAAGAGAGTGACATGAGAAGATCAATCTCATGTCTGTAAGTTAAATCAGCTATAATCACTCTTTTAGTGACTCGTCTAAAACATTTAAAAAAGGAATAACTTCAATAGAATAATTCTATACAGTGTAGCTTCTTTACATTCTAATAGAATGTTGCTTCTTTACATAGAATGTAAAGAAGCTACATTGTATTAGAATTGTCTTTTGAAGATGAACAGGACATTTTTCAGTTTCAAGTAATGACTGGGTTGTTACTTTCGGTGCTGCTTTAGTATTGATCATGTTTTGATATTTGAGTCATTTTGTGGACGATCAGATGGAGTTATGATGGTAGCAGTCGCCCAATTGCAGATTCAGCTTGAGCAAAACCTTTGCCTATTGTGTTCAAATCAGGCCCATAGGAGTTTACAAGGCAGGTGTCCTTTCTCAAAACACTGACCTGATGCATCAAGTGGATATTTTTTGCTGAACACAATATTATGCATTTGCCCTCTACATCCTCTAGTCGGAATGAGCATACTTATAAACGCACTGTTACAACTCCTTGTCATATTGCTTTTCGGAGAATTATGATGATAAGTTCATAGTAGATGCAAAAGTATACTTATGTACAATATATTATGTTGAACATTGTTGCTCCTGGATGGATCACAGCCAACCCAATTATTTTCAACACAGCTCCTTGTCCTTGGTCATGGTGGCCACAGCACTTAAAAGAATAAACTTCATAATTCTCAAAATTCTGACCCTTTGCTTTTTTATTAACAGCATTTACTTGTACTTTTACTTTCAATACTTAAGTACATTTAATATCAGAAAATTACTTTTGATACTTAAGTACAATAAATATCAGATACTTTAAGACTTTTACTCAAGTAGTATTCTAATAGGTGACTTTTACTTTTACTGGAGTAATTTTCCAGTAAGGTATCTTTACTTTTACTCAAGTATGGCTTTTGGGTACTTTATACACCACTGATCAAAACACTGAGCCACGACTTTGTCCAGACAATCGTGGTCCTCCAGAAATCGGATGAGAAGAGCAGCAATGTCATCGGCTCTCTTGTTGCTGGTAACATCGTAAAATATGACAAACCTTTTCTTGATGCCGGTATCTGTCACATAACGAACCACTAGTGCCAGCTGCGATGTATTACTTATCAGTCGTTTCGTCCACCATAACGGCGACAAAAGATGCTTGATTTATCTCCCGTCTTATCTCCTCTCCCATCACTTCAGCTATAGCACTGATCAGGTTGTTTTGTATTTTGCCTGATCTCCCGGTAAACACTTTGTTCGTGGAAAGGTGGTAGTGTAAGTCTGTGTTGTGCTCGGCCACAAAAGAAAGTAGCTCCACATAGTTGCCCCTATTTGTGGACTCCTTACTTTCGTCGTGTCCCCTGAATGAGAGCTCCTGTTTACCCAAAAAGATGACACAATCTATCAGTCTTTTCAGTATTTCCCTATTTTTCTTAACTTTTTCGTTGTGGAGCTCCGTTTCCCTGCGAACTTGTTAATTGATTTGTAGATCCACTCGGGTATCTTCAAAAGTTGTGTCCTGCCGTTCTTTTTTGTCCTGTAGCTGCCTTGGTCAGGCAACTGAGGTTAGCAAATCTAACGCATTTCCAGCAATACAATTTACAACGCTTCTCCGATGATATCAGCCAGGAATACCGTTCATAGTTGGTGGACTGAAAGTGGCGCACAAATCCTTTTTCCATGCTGGGTCAGGGCTGCTAGCTGTGGGGTTGGCCAACCCTTTCTTACGATGTCCAGCTTTTCTTTGAAATGTCCTTCTCGAGAAAGGCGTCGCCAGTAAATCCACCACCAAATCCGTTTCTTCTCCTCCTTCAGCCATTGAGTGTTAAAATAACAAAGCTAGGTAAAAAAAAAAGAATCTACACCAAGTAAAATGCTAAAAATGTTATGTCAATGTCATAACTTCTTACATATCTTTCAACTTGAACTCTACTACTACTAAGTTCTGCTAGCTAGCTTCAGATTCACAACAGTCACGCTAGCCCACTGACCAATCACGCCGCACGTTAATACAGATGTACTCGGCTAGGCCACCCAGAAAGCTCTGGCACATCAAAGAATACGCCCAACATGTCAAACTAAAAATCTGATTGGTTGAAGACTATGACAATCAACAATATCATCCCCATTTACTTAAACTGCAATGGGTTTCCTGCAGGCCTCGGGCCTCTCTTCTTACTTAGAGAGAGCATAGGGGTGAAATCTGATTGAATAAAAGCTACTTAAAACAAGCTGTGCTGGAAGCAGAGCAACTGAGGAAGACAGTAGCTGTGCAATGAGATAATAAGCTAATGGGACAAATAATTAGAATACATATAGTGTATTTATGAAAAATGATAAAATAGCTATAACTTTGTGATTCTGTTAGGCCAGCAGAGAAGGCTCACCACTGATGTTCACACAGTGAACGGCCGTGCGTAATGGCACTGTGGTCTGACGCGGGACTTCTCAGAGGCCGCGGATTTATCAACATCAGTCCTCCATAAAGTCTGTCTAACCTTTGATAATTTTGTCAATTAGAGTTGACTAATATTAATGCATGTAAAGTTGCCACACAACTTCAAGATAAAATAGGCTACATATTTTTTTTAATGTTGGGGTAAACGTCGGTGGGGCAGGCGGAGCATTTGGGGGGGGGGGGCATTCCCCACCCCATTGGCCATGCCTTAAACAGGCCTTGTTTACAGCGTAAGAGATGCTTTTCAGTTTTTTTGACTAGATGTTGCCTTTTTGTGAAAGTGTTTGTTCAGTGTTCGTACTGTGGAAAACTGTGTTTGAAATGTAAATTATTTTATATATTGAAAAAAGTTCACCAAAGCTGCCAGTGGGCCAAATGTTACCTCATCCCCAACAGGAGGACTGTGTCAATAGTATACTTTTTGAAGGTACAATGTTTTTTATTTTATACTTTTCATGTATACATTTGCTAGGGATAAAAATCATGGCCAGAATAGAATAAATTTCATAATTTTAAAGAAAATGTGTGGGGGGGAATGGGTTTGTCATAGCATCATATATCATCACTAAATTTCCAGATTTTCTACAACTTTTCTCTTTATAGTTCACAGCTGATTTTCACAACATTAACTGTGAGATGAGAGGAAAGCTATGACAAAGCCTGTTTGTTATGCTTCCTGATTTTCCATTCAACTTTAATTTCAATCAGTGTTGCATATCACCTGCTTTTATAATTCCATAATTTATTCATCATCGTATATAAAATATTTGTACATCTCTTATATTTAGCATTTATTCATGTCAATAAATACACACATCATGCAGTGACATCATGCAGCTTTGTGACTACAATTGCTTTAAATCGTGTTTCCAGTAGATTCGTCCTTCTTTGAAGTGAACACAGAAATATATGCAAATCGTTAAGATTGAGGCATTTGCCAAATGACCACACTTTCTGACTGTTGATACTCACACAGTTTCAATACTGAAACAGAATGTCTTTTGCTTTGTCAGGATCTTGAAGACGTTGTGTCGAAAGCTGAAGCTGCGGGAGGACTTTGACTACCAGCAGCTGGCCCGGCTAACCCCAGGCTACGTGGGTGCAGACCTTATGGCTCTGTGCCGGGAAGCTGCCATGAGTGCTGTAAGCAGGGTTCTGCTGGAAATAAGAGGACAGAGCCAAAGCCCGAGCTCTACTAAAGAGCTTTTAACAAGCAGAGTTCAGACTGAGGCTGCTGTGACAGATGGAGAGGTCAGAGAGCAACAAACAACAGACATCAACCCTGTACCTCAAGAAGAGTCGGGACAGAGTCACCTGCAGGTATGGGGAGCTCCAACAATACATTTCAAAAGTGCCACTCAGTATGAAACTGTCCCTTTGGCAGATGACCTCTTGCTCAGTCATAATGTAATATTCAAAAAAATGTGCAGGTAGTCCTACTTCATGTAAAACCATGTTTTTGTCTATTCATAGAAACCTTTGTCAATATTTATACAGCAACATATCAGTAGAGTATAGGTGGACGGACCTCAAGTACCATGAGTGTTGTTTTATCTCATGTGATTTGTATACAAGCTTGAAGTGACTGCCAGCCATTCTCCAAGGCAGACTCCAGTGTTTGGATGTTACTGTGTTTTCCTTCTACCAACTATTGGTTTCCATTTTTTGTCTTTATTAATTTTAACCTACAGAACCTTAAAACCCATGAGAAATCTGTCTTTGTGGCTGTTCGGCCTGTTTTAAAGTTTGACCCAGATTATCACTAAAGTGTTGCTTGTTGGTTTTTTTACACTTTAATCACAATGCTGTCTTTGTGCTTCATCAGACAGAAACTCCACGTTCTGTTCATTTTGTAGATTTCTTAGCTGTGGCCTCAGACTTAATTTTAGAAGCTGTCACAGTTAGTCATGAAAAACCTGTGGCAGGACTGCAATCATTTAAAGGTGCAATCTTCTTTAGCTGCACTAATGCTGACATCATTATAGGCCGGCGAGCAGGCTCTGATACGTCAAAGAATACGCCCAACATGTCAAACTAAAGATCTGATTGGTTGAAGAATATGACAATCAACAATATCGTCCCCGTTCACTTAAACTGCAAATGGATGCAGGCCTCCGTCTGCAGGCCTGGGGCTTGTCTTCTTACCTAGAGACACAGAGGTGAAATCTGATTGGATAAAAGCTCTACTTAAAACAAGCTGCACTGGAAGCAGAGCAACTGAGGAAGACAGTAGCGGTGCAATGAGAAAATAAGATAATGGGAAAAATATTTTTATAAATTATAATACATGTAGTGTATTTAAGAAAAATTATTAAATTATAAAATAGATATAGCTTTGTGATTCTGTTTAGGCCAGCAGAGAAGGCCTTGCAGGCCCGCCACTGCAGTAACAGGGTTCAATGAAAACGAATCACTTTATTTTGTACAGGCGATGGTTCTCGCTACTCTTACTATCTTTGTTTTTATATGACTAAAACTTTTGAAAATGAGACCTCGGTCTCAATTGATTTTGTCTAAATAAAGGTTAATAATAATAATAATGATTTAAAAAAAAAAAAAAATTAAAAAAAAGAAGCTAACTAGCCAGCTGTTCAACTAGAGCTGAAATACTGATTAATCACTGAATAATAAATTATTTTTTTACTTAAAATAAAATTGTCCTATCACTTAATTTGATTCTCAGAGTACATCAGAATGCTACATGTTAAAGCTCATATTTAAAATATTAGTATAAGTATTAGTAGTCATAGTAATAGCTGTAGTAGTGGTCGTAGTAGTTAAAATAACAGTAGTATTAGTAGAAGAAGTAGTAGTAATAGTAATAGCAGTATTTGAAGTAGTAGTAGTAATAGTAATAGCAGTATTTGAAGTAGCAGTAGTAGTAGTAGTAGCTGTAGTAGTATTAGTATTGGTAGTAGTAGTAATAGTAGCAACAGCAGAAGTTGTAGTAGTAGTAGTAATACTAGAAATATTAGCAGTAGTAGTCGCAGTATTAGGAAGAGCATTACTACTTCTGCTAATGCTAATACTTTTCCTGCATTGTAATTCAGCTCTTAGCTTCTTTCGATAATACAAGTCTGCCAGTTTCACACCATTTTTCACCACATTTCAGCTAGAATAGAATAGAAATATACTTTATTCATCCCCAAGGGGAAATTTGTCTGTGGCAGCAGCAAACATGGTTACACAATAAAATAAAAAATATTAAGTATGGAAAATGCACAATATATACAATATAATAAAATAACAGAGCAGGACCTATTAAATTTAAGAAAATAAAGTAATAAAAATGCACAGTATATACACTAAATAGAATCGTATTAAATTAACTAAGTAGGAAAAAGTAAACAAGATCACCAACAACAGTGTAGCAGTGTTATAGTCTTGTGTTTGATTTGGCCAGAGGTGATATATTATAGAGTCTAATGGCAGTGAGCAGGAATGTTTTCCTGTATCGGTCCTTGTGACAGCGGAGCTGAATCAGTCTATTGGAGAAAGTGCTCCGCTGTCCCTGCAGTAGGTGGTGGAGAGGGTGGTCCGGGTTATCCAATAAGAATAATAGTTTCTTCAGAGTCCTCCTCTCCACCACCTCTTCCAGATAGTCTTGTTTGCAGCCAATGATGGAGCCAGCCTTCTTAATCAGTTTATTAAGTCTGTTGGTGTCACCGGCTCCAATGCTGCTCCCCCAGCAGACTACGGTGAAGTACAGTGCACTGGCCACAACAGACTGGTAGAACATCTCCAGCATCTTGCTGCACACGTTGAAGGATCGAAGTTTCCTCAAGAAAAAGAGTCGACTCATCCCCTTCTTGTACACAGCGTTGATGTTGGTCTTCCAGTTCAGTCTGCTGTCGATGGAGACACCCAGGTACTTGTACTCCTCCACCATGTCCACATCCTCTCCCAGAACTCTCAGCGGTTGTGGAGCCGTTGTCTTCCTCCTGAAGTCGACCACCATCTCTCTGGTCTTGGCCACGTTCAGACGCAGGTGATTTCTACCGGCCCACTCTACAAAGTCATCCACAACTGCCCTGTACTCCTCCTCCCGTCCGTCCCCTATACACCCGACCACTGCAGTCATCAGAGAACTTCTGCTGATGGCATGACCCCGAGTTGTACTGGAAGTCAGTGGTGTACAAGGTGAACAGGAAGGGAGACAGGACAGTTCCCTGTGGGGCTCCAGTATCACTGACCACCGTATCAGACAGCACACGGCCCAGTCGGACAAACTGTGGTCTGCCTGTGAGGTAGTCAGTGATCCAGGAGACGGTGGATGCGTTAACACCCACCACCCGCAGCTTCTCACTCAGCAGCACTGGTTGGATGGTGTTAAATGCACTGGAGAAATCAAAGAAAGTGATTCTCACAGAGCCACCGGATCCATCCAGGTGCGACTGAGCTCGTTGCAGCAGGTAGATGATGGCGTCTTCCACCCCTACATGAGGCTGATATGCAAATTGCAGAGGGTCCAGTGAGGATTTCACCTGCGGTCGGAGGTGGGCCAAGACCAGCCTCTCCAGCACCTTCATCACATGAGACGTGAGGGCAACTGGTCGGTAGTCATTGAGGCCAGATGGTGTCGTCTTCTTTGGTACGGGAACCAGGCACGACGTCTTCCACAGCACCAGGACTTCCTCCTGCTTCAGGCTCAGGTTGAAGAGGTGTTGATGGACATTAGACAGCTGGATGACGCAGGTCTTCAGGACCCTGGGGCTGATGCCATCAGGTCCCGCAGCTTTGCCTTGGTGGAGTCTCTCCAGCTGTCTTCTCACCTGGCCAGTCGTCACAGAGAGAGAGGGGGGGGGGGGTCATAGTGTCGGTGGTGGCAGAGCCCTTTGAAGAGGAGGGCTCTGAGTCCATGCAGCTCACCAGGGGGGACAGAGGGGGAGGTGTTTGGGAGGTGTGGTGTGTGGAGGAGACAGATGAGGGCTCTGAGCTAAACCTATTGAAGAAAGAGCTAGAAAGGTTTTCAGCAGTGCATTTTTCAGACAGGTAGTCACCCATTTCTGTATTTTAGCAATGTTTTTGTGATTCATTTCAGCTTTCAGCATTCCAATGCATTTTCTAGTTAATTATTACCTTGATTTGTGTTTCAAGTCATGCTTTTGGGTCCTTGAATTTGAGGGACATGGGCCTGTAAAGTCCTCAGTCCTTGAATTTAATGTTGAGGAAGGCGTGGGAATCTTGTTAATGATGTAATGTTGGTACCTCTCAATTAGTTTGAGAGTGATAGCCATCTCCAGTTCTGTGTTTTGAATTTTGGTTGAGGGGCCTTTAGACTACAATGTCTTTCTTGCTTTCCTGTTATTCTAATGAGTTGTGTTATGTGTCCAGCAGGGGGATCTGTGGCACCTGCTGCAATTGTTAAAGAGCACTGCGACACTATCAGAGGAAGAGCTGGCTGGCCTGTCCATCCTCATGTCAGACTTCCTGGCCTCTCTGTCCAGTGTTCAGCCTTCAGCCAAGAGGGAGGGCTTTGCCACCGTGCCTGATGTCACGTGGGAGGATGTGGGAGCCCTGCAGGACATCAGAGAGGAACTCACCATGGCCATATTGGTAAACAAACTAAGCTTCTTCATGATTAACATCCTTGATCCAGACTGACCAGACTGCACTTAAGACATGAAGATGATTATCTTCATATCTTTTGTGGCCCTCTCACATGTGTTTACAAACTTAAGTCATAGGTGTGGAGGAATTTTGATTATTCCTGAAAAACCAATCACAACTTTAATCTTGTTTGCCTTTGTCTTTTTAGCTTGTTGACTCTAAGTCACCCTGGACTTGGTATTAGTCATCCTTAGTTACTTATGACTCTCAGCTGACCCCCTGCTGCATGGAGAAAGCTCTCTCCTGGCTGGTCTTGTTATGACATGTTATTCAGGATCAGTAAGGCTTTCTGTGGTTAATCTTAGCAGTGTATCCATAGATTGCCCTGTTGACTTATTCCATAACTGGGAACATTGTCCCTTTTTAATATATTAGAAATTAATTCTCGAGAAAAGTTTAGATGCACCAGTCAAACTGTGATCTGACTGATTCTACACCTATTGTCACTGACATGTACTGACGGTACTGACGGTGACATCATCCACAGCTGTTGCACAATGAACATACAGGGTTCCTTGGTGTACATTGATGGACTGGCCCAGGTGTGATCTGTGTGTGTGTCTGTGCCTGTCTCCTTCAGGCTCCAGTGCGTTCTCCAGAGCAGTTCAGGGCTCTTGGGCTCAGTGCTCCATCTGGTGTGCTGCTGGCTGGACCTCCAGGATGCGGAAAAACACTGCTGGCCAAGGTTTCCCATCACACCAACACAATTAATTATACCTAATAGTTAAATAGTGGTAGTGAACGTAATACTGAGTAACACAGCACTGCAATATATTTGAACAGTCTTAGTGTTATCTAAAATGTTTAGCCTTACAATATCTAGTATTCTATAATTGTAATTCTATAATATAATAATTTTCACAAATTATTTGTAATCAAAATAGATCCTGAACGATCAGTTTATACAGATTTCTAATGGCTAATTTATGGCTATATTATTTAGAGAATGTTTTTTTAATTCACAGATCTGAGTCCTGTTATTGCATTCTCAATCATCTTGTAATCAGTCCAAGGAATGCCCCTGGACTAAAAAAAACTCTTCAGAGAGCTGAGTGTAGGACTTAATTTGTTCATGAAGCTCCCTGCATCTGCAAATTCTTTGATGATACATCTTAAGCATTTTGACACAAAATCAGGTATCACTCAGGCATATGTATTATTAAAGGAATAGTTAAGCATTTTGGAAAATGCGCTGATTTGCTTTCTTTCTGAGAGAAATGAGGTGATCAAAATCAATATCATGTTTGTGTAGTACAGACGATGTGGTTAGCCCAGCTTGGCATAAAGAATTGACGCAGGGTGAAACGCCAAGCTCTGTCCAATGCTCATACATAAGTAGAAAGGAAAAAAATGAAATAGTGGTTTTAGGAGGAGTTGCGTGCTGGAAATATTTGTTATGCAACTGCTGGTTGCCAGATTTGGTACCATTGTGCCTGTACGGACTAAAACCTGTGCTCATTGACTGTATCTGGCAATCTGCTAGAGATGCTGCACATATGTGCTGGGCAGATGGAACTGTTCTTCGTGAAGAAATACTTCAAGCATGTTTTGACAAAAGTTTAAAGTTTTTGTTTTGCTGCCTAAAATCTGGGCTAAATATGTAAAACTATGGGGCCAGATTTTTCACTGTTACTCTGTTGTCTCCTGTCAGGCAGTGGCCAATGAGTCAGGCCTCAACTTCATCTCTGTCAAAGGTCCAGAGCTGCTCAACATGGTGAGTCACTGAGCTGTTCATAGAGTCTCCCTGTGCATTGTTGCATTGCTGTGCAGTTGGACTGAATGAGTCAGCACTTATCGCTGACTCATTCAGTTTGTTCTGCTAGCATCGCAGCAGTGTGCATCAGTAGCTGGTGTTTTTCAGCCTGTTTTCATGATCTCCTACCAGTTTGTGTTGCACTATACTGTAAAAGATGGTCATCTTCTTTGTCCTTATCCACTACTACACCCCATGAGTCAGAGAAGGCTGTTGTTAATATTATGTGGTTGCACTAACTGATGGATCTCTGTGCTTGTCTGGGCAGTATGTGGGAGAAAGTGAGCGGGCTGTCAGACAGGTCTTTCAGAGAGGAAGCAACTCAGCTCCTTGTGTCATCTTCTTTGACGAGATTGATGCTCTGTGTCCTCGCCGCTCAGGCCATGAGGTGAGAGGGATGAACTTCATGACTTGTAGCATGTTCAAAACATCAGATTCTACAATACAACACACGAGCCACATTGTGGAGCGTCCTGTCAGTTGATGCCAGTAGCACACACTAAATGCATCATAAAGACAGGTGAAGCAGTCAGGGTACAGTAGCAGGAATGTGATTAACCAGGGAGTAATTGAGATATAATTCCTTTCCTTTCTGGTGAGGTGATGCACATCCACCCTGGGACATAGAAAATTGCCATTTCCAAACAACTTGTCATCGATTGTGTAGAGGCATAAAAAACTGTGTGCTTTGATGCGAGTCATACGCCATCAATATGTTGCCCTTAACAATCAATCACAATACCCAAGCGTACCGTAAAAGACCAAAAGTTAAACTTTTACGATTTCACCAATTACCAAAACTGTCAACTTTAGACTGTTGCCACATATAACTAGAAACTGCTCCTAACAGAAAAAAAGATTTATTAATGTCTTCTTAAGATAGAAAAAAAATTTTTAGATCACATTTCCTATAGCTATAAGAGCAACCCACTCATTGATTTCTGCATGTGATCTACTATGTAATCACGGTTCATATAGCTTGCTTTTGTAGTGACTTGGTGATGTGTGTATGAACAGTGTTTGTGTGTATTCAGTCAGGAGCCAGTGTGCGGGTGGTCAACCAGCTGCTCACAGAGATGGATGGCTTAGAGACTCGACGGCAGGTCTTCATCATGGCTGCAACTAACAGACCAGGTACAGATCCAGACACACATGAACCCCACAGGGTAACCAGAGACATGCTGAAGTCTGAACCAAGCTGAGATGGTTCCAGCTTATTGGCTCAGCAGAAAGGGAGGAGAGCTGGAATTGTATTTTTGGGGCAATTTTTTGACAGAAGTAATGCACTTAAGTACAATTTTGATGTACTTTTATTTGAGTAATTCCATTTTATCCTACTTTATTCTTTTATCCACTTCATTTCACAAGGAAATATTGTACTCACTACATTTATCTCTCATATATAGCTACTAGTTACGTTTCAGGTTATGATTTAACATAAAAAACGTATACCTTTATAAAATACAGTGCATTGTTAAAGATTTATTAAGCCTGCTGTCTTTTGTAGAGTGTCATGTGTTGCTGGTCCTCCTCGAATGTTCAAGACCAAAAGAGGTGGGAAATCAAATGTGTACATCTCGAATATTGGCAGTTTTACAAAAATTGATGGGAATCAAAACTTTGAGGTCTGCGTGGTTTGTCTGCATGTCGGAGTGCCCGCTATCATCTCTCCTTCACTGTCCACGCACCTTTGGATGTAGAGCCTGCCCTCGAACATGCTCTGCGGCCCCTGGCTTTCCTCTCACTGGCTAGGAGTGCTCCATCGGCTTTACCGGGGCTGGCCCATCCGGCCCCGGTAAAGCCGATGGGGCACGCAGATTTTTACAAACATAACTTTTGAAGAGTTTATTTTAGACTTATCTATTAGAAACAGTTTTAATAATAATAATACATTTTATTATCATTATTATCAGTATAACTGCCTGATAGATAAGTCTCTTGCAAAGACAATTGGTAGCCTCAAATAAAAACGAATATGTAAAATAATAATACCATTATTATTATTATTATTATTATTATTATTATTATTGTGCTCTCAGGAGGAGGAAGATGAAGAGGAGATGTTTAACAATGAACTTGTGGTTCTTGATAATGATGTCGAGGACAATCATATTAGTAGGGATGGTGACTCTGTTTTTGAGCAAATTGTAACATACAGTATTATGCAATAATAAAGAAAAAAAGGCCTGCCTCTAATATAGGCCTGCTTCAAATAAAAGTCTCTTATCTCCTGCAGTTGAGGTAAATAAAGGCCTTGATCTTTATTTGAGGAAATATGGATATTAGTCAGGGGACATTTTTTGTGAAATAATTTTACTTTTGACACTGACCACATTATGCTGAAAACACAATCTGTACTTTAAAGTAAGTAGCATTTTAAATGCAGGACTGGTAATGAAGTATTTTTACATTGTTGTATTGGTACTTTTAATGAAGAATAATATCGAAATACTTCTTTCACCACTATTTTTCAATCTGTGACAAGGATTTTAATGTCATGTCTTGTCTCTTGCCAGATATAATCGACCCTGCCATACTGAGGCCAGGTCGTCTGGATAAAACCTTGTATGTAGGTCTGCCACCTCAAGCAGACCGCCATGCCATCCTGCTTACCATTACTAAGGTACACGTTAACCAGAGATACAGGAGCCCAAAGACGCTTGATTAAAGTAAAATGACCCCTAATGTCGTTTTATAAGCTAGATGTTTATTTTTTAATTTTACTTTATTTGTTTTGTTTTTTTAAACCAGTACAGGTATATGTTGGAAAGACATAGTTTAGTTCACATTTGAAGGTACTAGGCTACCACTTTCCCCCTGCTTACAGTCTTTGTGTCAAGCTAGGCTAACCACATCTAAGACCATGTTTGAATGCACAGCTGTTGATCTTCTGTAGGGAGGGACCAAACCTCAGCTGGAGCAGGATGTCTGTCTCGAAGAGATTGCCTTCGATGAGCGCTGTGATTGCTTCAGGTAACTCCCAGCTGGAAACAGCAACTTTCCTTGTACACTTACTGGACATATTCATACTGTTTCTCCTCCTTTTAGTCTGACAATTGAACGTGTGTGTGTGTGTGTGTGTGTGTGTGTGTGTGTGTGCGTGTGCGTGCGCGCGCGTGTGTGTGTGTGTTCCAGTGGAGCTGACCTGACTGCGTTAGTGAGGGAAGCATCTGTTAATGCCCTGAGGGTCTACCTGAAGTCTCAGAATTCCCAAACTACTTCTTCTGGTAACTTGACTTATATCTCTGCATACCTGTACTGTATTTAAAGATGCAACTGTAATGTGTTTTTCAGATTCGCATATTAGCAATCATTTTGGTATATATGTTGTGGGTGGGGTTGATTGATTTGGTATCCTGGCACTTTCCATTATACCTAGTGCCAGAAATGTGACCTTCCACTCTGATCTTTTGAGCCATTATCACCTTAATAAAATGGTACAATTCTGTTTTTAGCTAATTAGATTCAGCGCTGTAGTCAAAACCGTCTAAAGCTGTTTCAAGATTCAGTTGATGCCAAGTCCACATTAGTCTGAGTCCAAAAAACAACAACAGAACAGTGCACATTCAGTTTTCTTAATTTGATTGTCGTCTTTTTGTTTATAGTGTACTGTGATATAACGCCAATTACTTAGCACAGTCATTTGGATTTAGAAAGGTTTGGCAGGAACGATTGAGAAGAAACAAAATATTCCTGCAAAATGTTACAGGCTGACTGTGATAGTCTGATATATTTGCAGGCATTCTAAAATGAGGAACAAAGACACATGATGAAAAATAAGCATTACCTGAACTAAATGACAGAACAGGGAATGTTCTGACTTTCAAATGGTTTTATCATATACTGTGTGTTTACTCCTTATGCTAACAGGCTAACGGAGTGACAATAAATGCTGTGCTGCAGAAAAGGGGAAAAACATGATTCACAGTTGTAAAGTAAATGTGGAAGGGGAAATTGCAAGTTGGACAATGGTAACTATAGTAACTTTCACAAGCAGCAACCTCTGGTGGAACATGGAAGTGCCAAAAACTAAATTTCTTCGAATGGCTAACTAAGGCTTGCACCAAAAGTCAGTCAGTCCCCATAGACCCCCATGTTAAAATGGCCAACTTTACAGAAGAAATACAAATTTTTTTTACAGCCTTGTACAAAGTATAGACGAGACTTTTTACAAGTTTCTTCGTAGAGAAAAGGTACCATTAGAAAAGCTGGTGTCGGTGACAACAGACGGGGCTCCCGCTATGACGGGCCGGCATGCAGGCTTCATTGCGCAATGCAAAGGTGAACCAGACTTCCCAAAATGTCTACATTACCACTGCATCATTCACCAGCAGGCGCTATGTGCAAAATTAACCAGCTTTGATCATGTGATGATACAAAAATATCAGAGATGTGATACCTCCGACTTTCAAATGTTGAAACAGATTAACAGAAATAAATGTTTAAATATCTGTGTTTCCTACCATCGCTGTTGTGGAAATCATTATTAATAATTATTGTGAAGAATAATTAACTTTGATCATGTGATCAGACAGTCTCTTCACATATATTATTATTAAAAGGTGATCTGTGCAACTTTGTTATTCAGGAAGTTTGTATCAAACCAAGTAGCCCTTCGTACTACTCAGTACCCTTGAAGTAGCTCTGTTTCAAAAAGGTTGGTGACCCCTGACGTAGAGGCTTAAAGTTGGGCATAATTGAGAGCATGCGAGCAGGCCGTACTAGCTGCTCTACTGCGTCACCTGGGCCCGCCTCAGCTCCACCGATGTGCCACCTCTTAAGCCATTTTTGGGTTAGGCTGTGTCATCACTGTTAAGATGCCGAGGTCGAAGCCACCTACATTGAGCTTCACAACGGCTGTTCAGAATCCTTTAGAGACTACGCCCATAATTTAGATGGTCTATGGACAGAATATAACAAAAACCAAACAGGACTGTGTCTCATGACGAGTTGACTGTCCTGTTCATTGACTTAAATGTATGTTCATTGTTACACACAGGTCACACATTCACTTCTGGCTCAGTCGCTGACATCAGGGTGAGCAACCAAAACTTTGATGATGCCTTCAAGAAAGTTCGTCCATCTGTGTCCAAAAAGGTAAAGTGTAACGAGTACAATGATTGCTGGGTGACATGTAAAATGGGCCAACAATGTGTAATACTTTTTTTTTTTTCTTTTTTTTTTTAAGACTGAAATGCATGAACATACAGTCCCTCAGCTTTTAACCCTGTGCTATTTTTGACACCTCTTAAAAGTATTTTAGGACACAAAATGGTCATTCAAAGGAACACGTTATTAAGAGCAACTTGTGTGCACAAATGATCAAACAACAAAATGAACATTATTACTGGGAGCATGGGAACCATCCACTAGAGCAATGGCGTAAACCGTCCCTTTGGGATTTGCATCCAGTGACCCTTCAATTCAGGGCAGGCAGTCTTCGCTTTGAGTTGCCGATATTCCATGTACATCATCAGAGTCCTTTCCTTCTATGAGGCTATGGGCTGTGACTCTTACTAATGACCCTCCTTCTGCATAAGCTGCATTATATGTGCTTTAACCTCCTCCCACTTGTGGTGGCAAAAACTATTAAATAGTACCGAGTGAGTCCTATGATACTGAAATTAAGAAACATTGAGGAAAGAAGTTTGTCTTCAAAGTATTTATTCTTTGCGCAGAGAAGGTTCAATCGTCATACAGAATGCAATGCTGTCTGAAGGAGGAAGAACCTAGAGTGTTGGTTGTGTATGCCATGAGCACATGGTGGAGTCACTAGGACATCTGGACAACAGTGATCATTCACTGATCAACCATTGAATGGTTAATCACTGATTGGTCCACTGATTGCATCCCCATTCAGCCCCCTATTTAAGTTGACAGTATCATGCCCTTGATTAAGACACACACCTATTATTACTCAACCTGAGAGGACCCCTACTGACCATGTCTGACACTGATTAACTTTGTTAATACAAAAAGGGCCAGAACACTGAGTGGTCAGACAATAAAAACAGATAGATAAGTCATAGTGCAAATTAGCCATCACACACTGACTTGGAAGAAGCCTATGCTGCTTAACTGGGGTGAACAATGTCTGTTCAGCCTCACTCCTGGCGAACACGTCCGGGTTTACATCCAGCAAATTCCTCACCTGAGCTAACCGCTGCTCATTTAAATAATGACTGTCAAGAGAGTAAGATCAGAGTAGTAGAGCGTATAATGACTTCGCCATAATAGGAAAAAAAATATTTTCTCCTCAAATGCAACAATGTAATTTTCCTTTTGTCCAGACCAAACTAACCAAACTACAGGTATAAAAGCACCCTTAAACAGCAACAAATATGAGCTTGGCCTGTTGATTGATGGACTGTGTCAGTTGGAGACCTCTGTGCTTCACCTGTAAGTGAAGCACAGAGGTCAGCTGCTGTTTGTTGTAAGAAGTGCCAGGGAGAGGGGCAGGGCTGACATCCTTTTTTAGATCCTTTTGATGGCACTTAGACTCAGCACAGCTGTGAAACCCACAACCATACAGTGACTGTTCCTCTGTGTTCCCTCTGCAGGACCAGAGGATGTACGAGCAGCTCAGAGAGTCCCTCAGCAGATAACTACAAGACCAGAACCATGTAACCAGCAATGGTTCAACTCTGACTTAAGTTACTGTTGAATAATTATGTAATAAATGTATCTTATTATGGTTGCATCATAATACTGATTCCTGCTTTTATAATAAAAATGTGTAGAAACCAGACTTATGTGTGTATTAATATGTGTGTATATGCTAGATGACAAAGGCTCTCAAGGGTACAAACTTTTGGAGGAATGCCAAATTGAGATTCTGCGAAACTAATTCTCATCCTTAGGAAACCAGAATCAAATACCATGTTTGTGGACAAAATTTGTGACAACTAATAACAGCAGCAGTGTATATAATAGAATAATAACAAAAGCAGTAATACTAATACAAGATTTTTAGGGTATGTTTCAGGTACTCTTGTGGACATGTCCTACACGTTTTGTGATGATTGACCCAGTTTTTGGTCTAGTTTTGTGCTGAGCTAAGCCCATTTGAAGTATAAGAATAAGAAAACAAGCTTTTGATCCATTTTAACAGGCACTGGGCCTTCAGTGCTGGTCCTGCTACAGTTGAACCACCTCCCAATAACATCATTATGACGCTACAGCTACAGGTTATTTGTTTTGTGTAAAAACCTCATATTCACATAACATTTGACAAGTGAAATAAAATGTTACATGAAGCTTAACACCTATGAGGGCTACAAATGCACTAACTGCAGAGTGTAGATGCATGAATGCATGCAAAACTATAAAGGATCCAGGTCTATTACGCAGCATGACGGGATGCATATAGTCAAAATCAATGTAATTAACACAATGACAAACTCAAGAACCAGTCACATATATGACAACAAATCAGGTAGAATAACATAAAATCCAAATAACACGATTCAACAGGCACATTCCAGCAAAATTGCGGCGCTAAAACACGCATTCCGCCACTCACTCAAAGGCACAGGCCATTCAAATATTCACATCAGAGGGAACACTATTAACCATATCATAAAAACGACACGATAGAAAAATGAACTAACGCTACTGCAGGAAAAAAAAAAAAAAAAAAAGCAATTCACTTACCAAAGCTGCTCTGCTATTCACTATTTTAAGACAAAGTCCATCCTCCTTTCTTTGATTACAGTTTAACTAGAGTTTAATGCAGCGGTTGTACAGTACATTGTTTCAGTTCAAGTAAGAGGTCCTTCTCAATTGCCATGGAGATTGTCAGTGATGACAATCGAGTTGTATTTCTTGAATATGTTTTAGTGTATTTAAGAAAAAATATTAAATTATAAAATAGCTATAACTTTGTGATTCTGTTTAGGCCAGCAGAGAAGGCCTTGCAGGCCCTGACGGCCCACCACTGGCAAAATGTGTCTCACTACCGATAGAGTTCGACAACTGCGTCATTCAACAATTCCTCCTCCACGCCGCATGAAGGTGATAGGAGGAGCTGCAGAGGGTGCTCAGAGCAGATTTATCAGGTCAGCAAGGCGAGCCGATAGGCTGAAGAGAGAGGAGAGGAGAGGAGAAGGACCATAGATAAAAGGAAAACATTTTTAAAGACCTTGTGATAATTTGTTACTTATTTATCAAAGAACGCTGTTTAAAACAATAACGTTGATCAAAGAGATGGGGAATCGGGTCGCCCGTGAGGACTACGAATGGGTGTATACGGACCAGCCGCACGCCGACAGGAGAAAAGAGATACTGGGTGAGTTAGTTTATCGTAAGCAAGCTTTGCATAAACATAGTTAGCTTAACTTGGATAGAACTGTGTTAACTCGGTTTGGTAGCTATGCTGTTGAATAGCCGTTAGTTAAACGTAGAATGGGGTGTTAATACTACCACCATATCAGCTGACTCGGTTTGCTAATGTAATTTAGCTAACGGTTCCATATCCGCCCGTGTGTTTGCCAAATGCTAACTAACTTCCGACGGTTATGTTTTACGTTGGTGAGTAGTTTGCCTTTTAATGACTGACATTCACCACCATGTTTTTTATCAAAGTATAAATCGTAATGTAAAAACTAGTTGCAGCTATTTAGCTCAATCAAACATAACGTTAGCTATGTAACCTTAAAGTCACAGTAGTCATTTCGCCACTCCCTAAAATGACATAAAGCTAACTCACTTTTGAGCTTCTCACAAAACAGTTGCTGTAACGGGTTAACGTTAGATACTGCCATCGATAGATACACCATGACACCGGGCTAACGCACGTACTTTACACTCGCGTTAATGTATTAAAGATCGGGCAGTTTGAGAGATAACACAAGTAGTCAGCTCAGCATTACATAATGAGAGAATGACTAACTCCTTTTTGCACAACTCATACTAAAGCGATGTGAGTATGGAAACAATGAATTTAATTATAAGAAAAAAAATGCCCTGTCATGCTTAGCAGAGAAGTATGTTATAGTCAATTCAAAATTCAACGCCAACTATACTATTTCAAATACAGTATGTTTTGTATCTAGGTTACTTATTCTAATGTCTTCTTGAAGTTATATTATTCTGTTTTAAATAGTCGGCATCTAAATCTCATGTTTTTATGACTGCACCAGTTTATAACATGTATTGTCAAAATGTTGTTTGGGGTGCAATATGGTCGGAATTTTTATGTAAGACATTTGAAAAATTAACAAATTCTATCAACTGCATGTGAAGAAGTATGTTATGAGGTACATGTAGAGATGGGTATCGTTAGGATTTTATCGATATAGTACTATCATCGATACTGCTTATCGGTTCGGAGCCTTATCGATACTCTTATTGGTTATTTTTGATTATTTTATGAGAAAAGAATAGACATTGCTTTATTATTCATGGCTGCAGCCTTAGCCCGACAATCTACAAAAAAGTTCCCAAATCCTTAAAATACAGATGCAGCTAAACAATTAGCTTAGAGACTTGTTTTTTTTTGGGTCTGTTCTTATTATCAAACTCCGTGTGGCAGGGGTAATTAATAGGCGGTCCGGGTCTGGACCCAGACGTCATTGAATCCGGACCTGGACCGATAGATAATTGAGAATAATTACATTTTGACAGCTTCTATTTTAACCGGCACAGCTTTTCCAGCCTTTATGGCACTCGTTAGTAGGGATGGGTATCGTTTGGGTTTTTTCCGATACCGGTGCCTAAACGGTGTTTGAACCGATACTTTTTTTCTTCAAATTGAACAATATATTAACTGTTTAAAGTATACTATAAATATAAATAAATACAAAACACTTTGCTTCAAACTTTTTAACTTCAAACTATGAACAATATATTAACTGTTAACAGTTTACAGTATACTTAAATAAATGTAAATAAATACAAAACACACACACACACTCTGTACACACACTACAGCTTCAAACTTCAGCAATTATTTTGCAGAAATATGAGCATATTTGGCAAAGACACCTCTCCTGACTTCTTTTATTTTATTTTACCAGTTGGTGGCGCTAATGCACCAATTCATCGTTTGCCAACCGCCACTACACCTCAAAGAAGAAGAAGAAAGTTTCGCGTGCCTGTGTTGTTGTACTTATGAGCGGCAGCGCTAAGTACCCGGATGTCGATGGAGGAAGTCAGTAGCCTGCCAGCCGTTTCACAGATCTCGTTCTCGTTTTTTTTTAAATAAATCATGGCCGAAGCTTCGCTAGAATGATGGAGGGGTTTCTTTCTAAGCACGCACAGCTCGGCCGGTTGTAATAATACTATGAGTGAGGAGCGGAGGACCGAGGCTGCCAGGACGGAGTCATCAGAGTAGTGTAAAAAAAAGTATTTCAATCGGCTCAGGCACCGAAAGGAAGCACCGAAATCTGCGTTGCGTTTCGGTCCGGTAGATACCAGTCTTATAGGAACCGGTGCCATATTGGCACCGATTTTCGGTACCCAACCCTACTCGTTAGGCGGTCCAGGAAACACACGCACCAATTGCATGCGTTGTAAATCATATCATGTGATGCTACTCAGCCAGTTAAATTTGTGTATTCCAATAAGCATCGCGGCTTGAGTGAGATATAAACAGATGGAAGAGACTGGACAGTCAGAATAGTACTAAGTTATAAGTTATTTCACATGCCGTTCTCCAAAAAGAGAAAAGTGGACAGCGAAACTAGATTCTTTAACTAAGAATGGACAGACTCTTGGATACATAGGGTTAGGGTTAGTTCCTGCACACAAATTTCTCTTATTAGAAGATGAGAAGAATATAATATCGTGGCTTTTTGGGGTGACATCACTTTAACCTGAATTTAAATTGCAGGGCAAAACAATTCAGTTATATTAATTTATCTAAAATTAAGTGCTTTATTTTAAGAAACACTTTTCAAAAGCTTTCAGTAATGTTTTTTTATTTTTTTAATCCAGCCCTTATTGTAATTGAAATGAAAGAACATTTATTTATTATTAGAGTATCTATTATTTATAATTCATCCAGCTAAATTTGGAAACTGACAAAAAGTATTGTTTAGATATTATCAGTTGTCAGTTGTTGACTACATACAAACGTTAATACAACTGCTTGGCTACTTCACTAATTATGGCACTAAATCATAGTGCAAGTTAGACATTAATGTGATGTCCCGGACCTTTGCGTGAGGAAATGTCTGCACATTTATGTTCTGGGTGTGCGCCAAATGTTTTGATAGATTGCTGGTGCTTCCTCACTTACTTTTAAGGGTTTTATTGCATTTGATATGGGAGCTCTCAGCATCTACTGGAGTAAAATGTATAGCCACACTTTCTAACTTTTTATTCTCTCTGCCACAATGTGTGTCTCACGCTGTACTGAGCCAGAGTCGGTGTCTGTGTCAGAGTAAAGCATGCAAAGACAGGCACAGAGACAGAGAGAGGTTTGCTGCGCT